TTCACTGCTTTGTACTTTAGTCTATGCAAAAATAGTTCAAACATTGGAAAACAGTTAAAAATTTCCGCACCAGCGCATGAAAGCTGAATTCGAAATTTTGAAGGATGAATATTTTTTCGTAATTTCCGAGTTAATAGTTTACCCGCCAAAATTTTCACTAACCCGTAGGTGGTACCCGAGAGCGCGAGAAGGCTGAATTTGAATGGGCAACGTTGCGTTTTGTACTGCTGTTACACAGCACAAAACGCATAAAAAAGAACAAATAAAAAAGCTTCGTCATCGCACCTTTATAAGCTCATCGCGGACTAGAAGTCATAAGTCTGTGATGAGGGGAGGAAATAATATCTAAACAGCGGGTCGAAAGAACGAAAAAATTTCATCGGGAAAAAGCAACAGGAACGGCTGACCTCTCCTTCAACATATCTTCCTGTGCTCGTTCCAATGCAACCTTCTCATCATCGTCCAAATTCTGAGTGATTTTATTCAGCTGTTTGGCGGCGCGCTTCTGCTCACGTCTCGTCAACTTCCGTATGCTAACATCCGTATTCGACTGCACCGTTACTTGCTGACAGTACACAGGCTGCTCTTTCTGCTTCTGCGTCCTTTGCTACAAAAAATCTCATCTGTCCAACTGATCATCGATATCGCTAATTAGACAATTCAAATCCACCAGTATACGCCATTTATTGGCGCTTTTTAGTCGAATTTCATCTTCGTAATGGCGGATAAAGGCTCGATGGAGAAGGGTCATTCTCAAAAAAAAGGCTGAAGAATCACCAAGCATGAAGACTACAGTTTTTAGGGACAATACATTGCAAATAAAAATAATAAAAAAGTTCTCCAGATGGCTTACAGATCACCATCCTGAACAAACGCAACAACGCTAATAACGCCACTAAAGAAGCTGCTAATACCACAGTAAACAAATAAGCGATTAAATAAAATGAAAAGAACCTAATATAGACTAGTGAACAGTTGTATTAGGAAATAAGGCTTCTGCATATCCTACAACAAGCCTCTTTCATACAGGATAGAGGGCATGTAAGCTGAACGCCAGTAACAATCGAAATTTCGAGTGCCGGAGACTTACCATTACGACCTAAAGTGCTAAACGAAATTTAGAAAATCAAAATTTTGTACTCTACCCCAGGCATGGGCAATCTTTGACAACGTGCGGGCCCGATTTACACACTCACTTAAGTTGGTAGGCCCTTTTTTAATCAAACCCAGGCAATAAGGCACCAGGTTTGCCCGTGTGATTATGCTTTTTTGCGCTAAACGTAGTGCAGTTAGATCGTTAATAGTATGTTTGCTGCTTTACAGTTTAACACGTGCAACTCATGTGCCTGTGTTTTGGTCTTTTCTTGCATGCGGAGGAGAAGAGCTTTGGCTGGGACAGTAATGTTACATCACGGCTCTCCCCTT